GACCTCATAGGGCTGTTGTAGGGATCCAATGAATTCACTGTAGACCCTGATGCATATTTGTGGAATGCTTAAATGGGTGAATGTGGAGTGTCTAGAACAGGGCCTGGTACACAAGGCAGTGTCCAAAAAACATTACTATTATTAGTGTTTGGAAGCAAAACAGGGCCCCCCCAAAATGGAAAAACAGGAAGTCCAAAGATGCCAAACCGGGAATGTTGGTAGGCCGATTAATCTACACGTCAGATGTGGGGACAAACAGACCCAGCTGGAGCTTCCAAAGGTGGTCAGTGGAGAGGAGGGGGTTGTCAAACCACCCCATGGCACTGAAAACTGCGTCTGAAGAGGGGGTGAGGGGCAGGGCTGGACCTGGGCAGGCTGAGATCTGCCGTGTCCCCACTGCCCACGGCCGGCTGGGGCAGGGCCTTTGTTGACTCAGCGGGACACTTCCCACAATGCCCAGAGGACATAGTCAGGACGCAGCCAGCCACCCTTGGCCCAGCCAGAACCCACACTGGCTTCCCTGGGCTCCCAGCTGGCTGCCAAGGCAGGCCCAGCACCAGAGCAGCTACAAGATACGCAGGGTCCCTCATTCAAAAATTAGTCATTATTAAGAAATTCAAGATGGTGACTGTAGTGGAGTCACCCAAGCTTGGGGCCTTTTTGAGGGAGGACCCCTGGCACCTGCATGGGTCACACACTTGTGAAGTTGGCCTTGTACCCAAACCCAGCCAGCAGGGATGTGCCATTAGGAGCCAGCCCTTCTTACTGGCATGGACAGGATCTTTTCTCTCTAAAGATCCCCCTATGGTAGATCCAGCCCATGCTTGCTCTGGGCAGACAGCAGCACTGTACTGTCTGGACAGCCTGAAAGGCCTGTCCTGGCGGTCATCTGAGGGCATACACCCATTTCACAATCCTCTGCCCTATAACCAGGTTGGGAAATACGTCCCAAACCCCAGACTTCCTGGGATCGTGAAGATCCCTTTGCTCTTCCCCACCCCCCGCCCAGGGGTTTTCCTGGGGCGCCTGCTGCTCCCGGCTTGGGACTCCCACCCCACTCCCTGTGCCCCCTGCCCAGAGAGGCCACTTCTTGGGCTCCAGCTTCATCCAGACCACGTCCCTTGGTAACGTTTCCGGCTCTGTACTCAGCGCCTCTCTGAGACCATCACCTGGACTTACATGTTTCCACGTTTGTTGTCTTGTTTCCCCCGCAAGCGCAGGAGCCCCAGGGGGGAGGGGGCTTGTTCCTGGCTCTAGGAAGATGCCCAGGATATAGGAATTGAACAAAATGCCACCTTCTCGGGGTGGGCTTCCCTGATCACCAGCCTGGCCTCTAGCACATCAGGACCATATCTGAAGTTACTGAGCTTAACTATGGGTTCGCATGTGAGTCTCTAGGCTCTCCTGCTCCCTATCTCCCCCATGTCACATGAGGGTGGGGATTTTGTGTTGTTTCTTGTGCCGCGTCCAGGACCTACCTAGCTCACAGCCTGGCACTGAATAGGTACACAATATTTGCTGCATGAATGAAGGAAATTTCTTTCCCTGACTTATGGCCTCCCTCCCATGGACTCAAACTTGTCCGGCAGAGGTGGCCCACCCTTCAGCACCCACACTCCTGGTCGAGTGAGGGCTCCCACACCACACCACTCACGCCTTGGCCCTGTCACATGACCCTGGACGGAATCAGTGAGCTATGAACTCTTCTTCCTGTGCCTGGCCTGACTGTGGGCTCCGTCTTCCTCCTCACTGAATTCCCCGCACCACAGTGCCTGGTACACAGAGGGCACTCAGATTCGGCAAATAAAAATGCAAGACATACAGTTAAATGTGAATTTCAGATAAGCAACACATAAATTTTTAGTACAAGTATATCCCAAATATTGCACGGGATATACTAAAAATTATTTGTGATTTATCTGAAATTCACCTTTATCTGGCGGCCCCAGGCACCCACAAAGCCTCCCGTGAGTGTGGGTTCTCAAGCGTATGCTTCTCCCAAAGCAATTCTGTCCTTTCCTACTACCCACCTTAGCCGAGGATGCTGTCATGGGGTGAAGCCTTCCCAATTGCCAGTCCTCTCATCGAAAAACAGGAAAATAAAATGACGATAGGTCCTCCTTCCCCTGGTTGCCATGAGGATTACATGACATAACCACTGGCACATATTCAGCCTCTCGCACACTTTCACGGCCCGGACTTCTTCATTCCTCACTATCACCCCAGCCAAGGACACCATCAGGGATGCCATTTTGCGGAGGAGGTAACTGAGGTGGGACAGATGAAGGCACTTGCCAAGGTCATGTGTCCCACCTCATCAAGAGATGGGATTGTGACCACCATGCCTGACACCCCACTTTAGGCCTCCGGGCAGAACCAACTTTGGAACCAGGGCACTTGCCATGGACCAGTCACAGGTGCCACCAGTCGCAGGTGCCAAGAACCAGTCGCAGGTGCCACCATTAGACCAGGGATGCCACACTGCAGGCGCTCAGTAAATGTGGCCAGTGCTCTTGTCCCAAGGCAGATCAACCAGAGGTCGATGTTGTGGCTAAGGTGTTTTTTGTTTGTTTGTTTTTAATCCGTTGAATTCACTGGTTATTTTTGCCTGCTGGTGGTTCAGCCTTGATTGAGGAAATACTGCTTCATTTCCAAGGCAATCAAAGTGCAGGATTTTTCACTGCCAGACAGCCAGAGCCTCTGCGAGAGATTTAGAGGACAGGGGTTGTTCCCGGAGTCCTGAACTCCCAGCACATGGGGCTGGGGCTCCTGAGAGTTTGTTGGGTAAGTGAAAGGAGGGGCTCCGACGGTGCTCTTCTTTGGCCCAGGAAATGAGTGGGACCCACGGTCATCCCCAGGCCCAGCCTACATTGTTAGGGTCCCCCAAGCAAGAATCAGGATCCCCCCCCTCCCCCAGGGCTTTTCCTCCAAGCTGCAGAGGCCAAATGGCAGCAAGACCTCCCCCATTCGGGACCTGCAGGTGAAATCTGTCCCTTCTCAAGCTAGGGGCTGAGACTGTCCTGGCGGCTCAGGCCCTGAGCGCTTCCCACCTCCTAGTCCCTGGGGTTGGGCACTCCGAGAGTGAGCCTCCCTTCCCAAACAAATGATGGTCAGTACCTTTGAACCTTCCTCTGTGTTGGGCAACCCCCAAGGCTCCTCCATAAACCCGGAACACCCAATCACCCGTGAGCTGAAGTCCTCTACAAAAAGTTCTCTGCCTGCCCTCTTAAGAGAGCAAGAGGCATCGCTGTGACCAGCGGCCTGGAGAGATCACACCCACTTCCTGGGCTGGCTTTCTCTGGATTCTGCAAGTCTCTGGTCTGGTTACCCTCTCTTAAAAGGAAATAATAATTTTTAAACACCCCTACACCCCCCCCCAATACAAAAGGAATCTCTGCTCCTTACTAAACTCCAGGAATTGCCAGAGTATGTGGATATTTAAAGAAGGAGAAAACTATGTGAGGGTGCAGATACCCCCGGAGACCTGCCTTGTGTGAAAACCAGGCTCCTCCATTGTGCGGCCCTAAGCAACCAACTCCCCAGGCCAGTTCCCAAGTGTTTAAAATGGGGATAACAACATTCCTGCCTCTGGGAGTAGGAATCAGGCTGAGTTAATATGTGGTAAGTTTCTGGCCCAAGGTAGGCACTCCACAAGTGCAGGTAAAATACAGAGAGATTTAGGCAAGAGTCTCGGAGGGGACACACCAAATTGTTGAGAGTTTGGAGGTGTGTCAGGGAGAGGGCCCCAGACGTAATATTTTCATTTATTTTTAAACCAGGAGAATGTGTTCTTGTAGCGCTTGTGTAATTAAAACTTAATGAAATAAAAGTATGCCCCCGCACTTCCTCCCCCCCCCCCCTTTTGAACTCCGGAGGCGCGTCCCCACAGCCGGTGGCCTTTCGGGCAGCAGACAATGGGAGTGGATTCGCCCCGGGCCCCGCCGGCTGGGGCGTTACACAAGTCCCCGACACGTATTTACATGACAAGGGCTCCCGGGCGTTTCTCCGAGCGGTCCGGGGCGTGTCTACGCGAATTCCAGTGTGACCTAGTCGACCTCCTTGGGGTCGGGTTAAAGTGCGCAGGGGGCGCAGGGGACCAGAGGACTCGTGGGGCTGCAGACCTGGAGGCGGAGAGTTTCCTGCGAAATCAGGTAATGGGTGATCTGGTGGACTTCCCCCATCTTCTCCAATTCCCCGTACCCAGAGTCCAGGGACCTCCTTTGGGAGGGGACAGGCTTCCCCTAAACCCGGGTCAAGGATTCCGGGGTCCCAGAACGCACCCGCAACTCGCGGAGTTGAGGGTGGGAACGAGTCCCGCTTCCCCGGACCCGCGTGTTCAGGCCAGGGGTTGCAAACTGACCCCAGGAGGGGCGGGGACGCTGCACCCTTCCTTCTCCCCGCTGGTCCCGGGTCTACGCGGTCCGCCTAGCTCTGGCCCTTTAAGAGCCCGCCCCCTTCCCTGTCACCCCGCCCCGCGGCCCGGGAAGGGGGTGCGGGGGAACCTCGGCGGGGATTGGCGCAGCGCGCGCCCCCTCCCCGGCCCCCGCGCGGTGGGAACCGGCAGCCCCGTCTAGCGCTGACGTCAGACCGTCTGCCTGCCTCCGACCGCGGTCTCGGAGCGAAACCCGATCTCCTTGGACTTGAATGAGGAGGAGGCGGCGGCGGAGGCGCTCGGCTGCGGGAAGCCAGCAGCAGAGGCTCAGCCCCGGCGGCAGCGCGCGCCCCGGCTGCCAGCCCATTTCCCGGACGCCACCCGCGGGCACTGTCGACGCCCCCGGGGCTGCCGAGGGGCGGCCGGGGGGCGCAGGGGAGCGCGGCCCCGCGCACTGAGTCCCGCGGCGCCCCGGGAACTTGGCGGCGCCCCGAGCCCGGCGAGCCGGGGTGCGCCTTCCCCGCCGCGCGCCTCCTGCATGCGGGGCCCGAGCGCCGGGCGCCGGCCGGAACCCCCCCCCGGCCGCCCCCGTGCCCCCTGCGCCCCGCGCCGAGCAGCCGCGCCGTCCATGCACCGCTTGATGGGGGTCAACAGCACCGCCGCCCTCGCCGCCGGGCAGCCCAATGTCTCCTGCACGTGCAACTGCAAACGCTCTTTGTTCCAGAGCATGGAGATCAGTGAGTGACCCCGCGCACCCCTCCCCTGAGGCCCCGTCCGGCTCGGACCCCGAGTCCGGGCGCAGCTGCGGGCGGGGGCCCGGCCGTGCGCGCCCCCTCGGGCCGTGCGCCCTGCGCCCCGGGCGCGCCCTCCTGGCTCGCGGCAGCTGGCTGCCGGCCCGGCTTTGTCCCGCGGCGCGGCGAGCCTGGCACGGCCCCCGCTGCCCGCGCCCCGCCCGCTGGGACTCGGACCCCGGGCCGAGCTGCGCGGAGGGCGGCGTGGCGCCCGGAGCGGGAGGGCTGGGGCGGTCGGATCCGTGAAGTTTCCATTTTATTTCCCTAAGGGGCAGTCTCGATGGAGCAATTAGGCCGGCTCTTTATCAACTTTGGCTGGGGGAAGGGGGGTGGCGAGCGTGTGAGACACTGTCTGGCCTGCGGGGTGTCTGGGGCCCGGGGTGTGTGTCTGGAGTGTGCGTGGCGCTTATGTCTCGGTCTGTGTGAGTGGGTTTCCTTGCGTCTGTGGAGTGTGCGTGTCTGTGTGTCTCTGTCTGGGTCTGGCGCGTCTCCGTGTCTCCCTGTGTCTGTGTGTCTGGGTCGCAGTCTGTCCCGGGAATATGTAGTCTTCCTGCGTCTCTGCCTGTGTCCGGGTCTGGGTACGTCTTTTGAGTGTGTGCATCGCTCTGGGGGCTTGGGGACCATTTGTGTCCGGGTGTCTGAATCCAGGGCTCAGCGCTGGTGGGTCTGGCCGAAGGTGGATCCGGAGTGTGTGTCTCATTGTGTGAGTGTCTGTGTCCCCGACGCACCTATAAATAGCCTCTGTCTGGACAGCTTGGCTCAGCCTGGCTGGGACCGTGGTTACAAATGAGTCAAAGTTTGGGGCTGTCCGCGTTTGGGACTGCCTTGCCCTGAAAGGAGGAGGTAGACCGAGGGTGGGGAGGGGGTGCTGAAAGCTTGGCACCAACTCGCCCTATACATCCAGAAGTTGAGACAAATAAGCCTCTACTTCCGCCATGCATAGCCCACTCAGGTGGAGGTTGGGTTGGGTGGAGTGCCTTCTAACCTGGACCCCCTCCCCCAGCCCATCCTTTTGGGGACCTCTTGCCTCTCGGGGCTTCAGTTTCCCTACCCTCACCTCTAAGCCCCGGAGGCAGGGGAGCACACAGCCCTCTCCTGCAAGGGCCAGCCTGCTTCCAGCTGGGACCAGGAGTCAGAGGCGGCCACCACTGAGCAGGGCAGTCACTGGGTGACTCATAAGCCAGTTTCCGCAGGCGGCTGCCACAGTTTGTGGCCCCTGAGCTTGTACAGTGAGGCATAAGAGGTAAAAATAACCCATGACCGGTTCTGCTGGGGCAGGCTGGCCTGCTTTGGTGGTGGGCCCTTCCATCCATGAGTGCCCCCCTCCCTCCAGTCCCAGAACTGAAAGCCTGGTCCCCCCCCCCAACCCCCGAGCGCCCCTTGCCAGGCCAGCAAGGTGTGAGGAGAACCTGCCCAGAGCCGGCGTTTGCGGAACTGAGTCGCATTAAACCAGATTGCTTCCCAGAGGCCCTTTGTGAACTCAGGAGGCTAATGAAATGCACGAGGATATTATTAAAATATGTTCGCACATGTTTGGAGAGGGCCTCGCCAGTGCTAAATGGATTGCTGTTTCAGTACCCCTGGTGCCTCATTTTCCCCCTTCGGTAAAGCTGCCTTAGGGGACTCCCCACCCCAGGGACCCACGCTGTTGTGTGGAACTTGACCATTATGAGGACTGGGCACGGGCATTTTGCTCTTGGCCTTCCTTTGTGTACAGGACTTAAAAAAAAAAATTCATTCTTATTCCTGTCCCTTCTTGGGCCCTTCAGCCCTGATGATGTTCTGGCTGACACCAAGGTGCTGTTAAATCCGTTGCCTTCAACCTGTGTGCTTCCCTGGGTCGGGCATGTGAGCGGGACCCTGGAGGTTAGTGCCTGGAACCCTGGCCTGCTCCAGCTGGCCCCAGGGTGGAACATGAGTCACTGTGCGCGGTGTATTTTTTACACACGGCCCCCTACTTACTGGAAGAAAGCCCAGGGCAGGAAGGGAAATGATCTTTAAAATGCAGGTATAATGTAACAGTTTGTTGCAAGTGCTAATCAGATTTCCCCGAAAGGGTCTGGTGAGGAAGCCTGAAGGCCTGGAGTTTCTTTGTACAAAAAAGATGGGGAGGAAAATTTGAAGTGCGGAAGGAAGGCCACATTTGACGTGATAGGAGTTGGGGGTTGTTTGCACACAGAACATCAAAGATGGATTCGGAGCTGGGCTGTGGGGCAATGTCCCGGTGGCCCTCGGTAGGTTCCCCAAGCTGCCTTAGTTTCCTCTGAAAAATGAGACCCTGACGGTTGAGCTCGAAAATTCTTCCAGCTTTCAAGATGGGGCCTCTGCCCTCCAAAGTCTGGCTGGAGGCCCCAGTGCCAGAAATGGCTCCCCTCCCCTTGAACAGCACTGGGTCCCTAGTGTGGCGCTCAGTTGCCCTAAAACTCAGAGCTGGGTGGAGCCTTGGCCAGCTCAGGTTTTAGAGATGAGGGAAGGTGGCAATGGAAAGCTTTGCCCCTCGGTCCCGAACGCACCCTGGACCCAGACCCAGGGTTATTTCTCAGGAAGCGCACACTCTGTCTCTTGAATTTGGAACTTGGGCCCCACAGGGGGTCCATCCTGAACTTGGGGGCTGGAGGAAATCAGCAACATCCCCCCCACCCCACCCCCGTTGCACTTGGGAGGGTGGGAACAGGTCTGTCTCCAAGGAAGCCAGATAAAAGATACTGCGAGCACACTCCAGGGGCCCCGGTTTTCTCTGAGAGTCAAGGGGTGAGGGATGCTCTCTGATGGGAGTTCACCGTTCCCAAGATACCTCACAGAAAAATATGCTGTTCTTTAAAGAAGCCAGGGGTCCTGGGGTTAAAAACAGCCGACTCCAGTGACAGCCCGCCAGAGCTGACAGTAGCGCGTTGGCCAGGCGACTTTTCAGGAAAGGGTTCCTTCTGGCATGCGTGTTTTTTGGCATTCTTGTTGACCTCTTTATAGGTCTGTCTCTCTTAGAAACTAGCCCCTGCCTTTACTCAGTTATTTCTCCAGGGGCCGGGGGGCCAGAGGGCGGAAGGCAGTTGCCGGGAGCTGAACCTCAGTCTCCTTCAGAGATCAGCCCCAGTGAAGGCCCGTGGTCACGCTCAGACAGAGTTGGCACCTGCCTGTCATTCCCTTGGCCTTTACTGAGCGCCTCGTGTGTACCACGCAGGAAGGACGGCGGCTCCGTCTTGAGGAGCTTCCCGGTTTTCATCTTGGATTTGCATTTATTAGGAGGAGAGACTCTGGCACTGAGCAAGCTTAGTTATTTCAAGGATTTGGTTTAAACCATGGCCGTCTAGCTTGAGCTATTTCCCCCATGGGCCCTCTGAGCGGGGACTTTTAACCCACATGTTTTCTGACTGTCTGGGTTTTAGGTTGAGGTGCAAATCCTAGACTGGATTTCAGGTCAGGCAGTTGGCCATGGCTCCCCAGGAGGTCTGGGGCAAGCCAGCCACACCCCCCAGCGTGGCCCAGGGTCAGGGCCGAACTTAGTGTTTGTCAAGGCAGAGAATAAGTAATAGCTCCTGCGTGCATGCACGCAGTCTGCCCTTTACATTGTACAAACCGGTGCACTCTCCCTTGGAAGGAGAAGGGAAACGGAGCGGTGTGTGCTGCTGCCCTGGAGTGGAGGTCCGTTGGGGAGGGTCGAGGTGGCCGCACCTTTAACAGGACAGCAAGGTGCACGTGCCCCACAGCAGCCCCGCACCTGCCAGCTCAGGTGCGCCCTGTACCCGCCCGCACCGTGTCCCGGCCCGGGGCGCGTCCTCGTTCCTGGTTTGCGCGGTGGTTAACATGTAAAACCGTGTTGTAGAGGAGCTTACGGGTGGTGGGGCCCAAGCTGGAGGGGCCACGTGGCTTTTCCTCTTCGGGTTTTTATCTCGCGGTCTGGGGTCCTGCCCGAAGAGAAGTAACTCTTACAAGTGCAAGTTGGGAGGCCGTGCTGCCGCCGGCCAGGGGCGCTTGTATGGTGCGCGTGCTGAGGAGGCGATCAAAGCCCAGGGCCTGCTTTGTGCTTCTTAAAAGGTATCGTGTGCCCCCATGCATGCACGTGTGTGTGTGTGTGTGTGTGTGCGCGCGCGCGTGCGCACATGCCAGTGCACAGTTAGGGGCACTTGTGGAGGCCCTCTATGCTGGCATGCCCGCCCCTCTTTGTGCACCCGGGAGCGAGGAGGATAGCCCAGCGCTGTGCCCCAGGCTTCCCGCGGCCAAGGAAGCGTGGCTTGGGGTGGGTGGGCTACAGACACCTGGAGCTGTGAGTCCTGCCTGAGGGGACAACCGCCACGTGGGCCCTGTGTGGCCAGACCTCTCCGTTTCAGGGACCCAGACAGCTGGATTTTGATGTAAAACTCTTGGCTTTTAAGTATTGGCAATTCTTTTTCTTCTGTTGCTCTGAGGGCCCCACGACACCTGCCCACAGACCTGATCTCTCCGTGGGTTGCAGTGGGTCAAGTGTGGGACTGGCCCAGGGAGATGGAAGCTCAGCCTGGCTCCACAACTTACCGGTTGTCCTGTGGTGCAAGTGGAAAGCGGGGTAACAGGAGCTCCTGTGTGCTGGGGGGCTGTGCCTCTTCAGAGGTTATTCTTGTGGAGTGTGGCCTGCTGTCTGCGCAGCTCTGTGTTCATGGGGGTTGGTGGTGACGGTGGGGGAGGACTGGTCTCAACTGTCCGCTCTTGTCCTGTTCCCTGGCGGTCACTGCCGGATGAGGAGGCTGGCACCACAAAAAGGTTTCCCCGTCCTGGGGCTGGGGTGCTGGCAGGAGCGAGAATGTTGGAATAAACAGGCCCATGTGGGGACCGTGACCTTGAAGGTGGAGGGACTTGAATATTTACCTTGTCCCTGCCAGGCCCACCGCAAAGCTGGCAGGAAGCCCCACAAGGTCTGCCAGAGACCCCCTTGGGTTCCCGCAGTCGACTGCCAGCCTCGGAAGTTGGGGGCT